GAAAACGTACTAATTTCGTACGATATTTTTCACTCACCTGTAGCGAAGTGCCAGATATATAGCTTGTAATTTCCCTTATCCTTGTACCACATTTTCTTTCAGAGAACCATTGCATCCAAAAAACAGAAGTCGATACCTAAAAAGTGCTATTTTGGCCTTCAATCGAACGCTATGAGCCAATCGCGCGCGACAATTCTGAGACGAGGATAACCGATAGTAGAATCGCGATACCACCCAAGGTAAAGAGGTCTATTCAATATTTATTCTGTTTTGACTGAGGTCAGTCTGATCATGACAGTTACCACTGACACTATCTTACTGGCTACCGAACGGAATAGATATCACTGCTGGGGTAGCGAATGATTTTGAAATCATTAAACCTTGAAAAAAAAATTGTCAAATCACTAGTTAAAAGCAATAGAACATGTACAGATCTCGCCCCCATGGTCTACGTTACAGATAATATCCTGGGGGTTTGAATTACTCTATTATTTTACGAGTTTAAATAAAAAATAAAGACCCAAAATAACAAGGTGGTTTTCACACAATTTATGGCAATTAAAAAAAGACAGTTCACCAAAATTAATACTTAAGCGTTCACAATTCATCAGATATATTTTTTACTATTTTGTAACTTACTCATGCTATAAATAAATCCTGTAATTGTACCATCACTCTATAATCCCATATAAGCAACTATTGCATTATTTTCAAATTCTCTTTCCTGTCCAAATTAAAGATTAATCTGGATCGTTTCCATTTGCATTCTTTAGAGGGAGAACTATGACTTATGGAATCAGTCTAGCATACTTTGGGATAATATAATTAATCTGCAATAGGACTACAGGTCTGCCTATCGGCCTCTGCCAATTTTGTCAGTCCTCGGAATTTTTTTCATCCAATTACATTTCCAAATTGGACAGCATGTAGTCCTATTATCTATTCTAGTCTATGCACCGAATCGAAATATGGGTACCGATTTGAATAGCCATTGTTCTGGACTGACTGTAGCGACTAACTAGACTCTCATTCATTTGAAAACGCCTTTAAATTTCCACGTGAACACGAGGCTAGTTATCAGTCGCTAATCAGTGCAGAACAATTGTTATTCATATTGGTCGCCATATTTCGATTCGGTGTATATCGTAGTAAAAATTATTTGACACTGTGAGACATCAAATGCATAGAATACGTTTTTCCTACCAAATGGCTGCAATATATTACCACCCAAATTGAACTTTAATACAAAAACTATAACTTAGAATGTATGATATATAATGTACTGGAAATTACATTTCAGCTTATCCAATTTATCCACCCCCTCCGGGTACGGGGCCTGATGGGAGGTCTTGCCAGGGTCGCCATGACATTTCAGACATGCACATGAGAAGGAACGGAAAACTACTGGATGGAATCATCAAGGAATAAGGATTTTAACGTATATTTACTTGTCGAATCTTACAGGTCGGAGGGCCACTTCCATTTAGACATTTATCTGAAGTGAGCTTCTTGCTTSTTATGCTTTATTTCCTAAAGAAATAATCCCTTACCACTTTATTATCTGTCATCACTTTGTTCCTTTTTGTTTCTTTAAGCAACGGTCTGCGTATTTCAGTAAAACAATATGGGCGTCACATCAGGTACATTTCTCAATGCTCAAGCAACGGTATGCGTATTTTAAAACATTATGGGCGTCACATCGTGTACAGTTCTAATTCTCAAACAATAGACCTTATTCGTGGTGTGACAATGTTTTCCCAATTCAGCGTGACAAACCTCTGGGGGAATAAAGAGCTATTGCTTTGAAACTCGTCGGGATATCATCGTTATTCCTTTCGTATCCTTTGGGATACTCATGAATTTTTCGAAGAGTAAAAACAAAAGAAAATGAATCCCCTGGAGGTTCGTCACGCTGAATTGGGAAAACATTGTCACACCACGAATAAGGTCTATTGTCTGCGCATTATAAAACATTATGGGTATCACATCACGGGTACAGTTCTCAATGCTCAAGCAATGGTCTGTGTATTTTAAAACATGGACGTCACATCAGGTACAGTTCTCAATGCTCAAGCAATGGTCTGTGTATTTTAAAACATTATTGGCGTCACATCAGGTACAGTTCTCATTCTCAAGCAATGGTCTGCGTATTTTTAAAACATTATGGGCGTCACATCAGGTACAGTTCTAAT